CTCGCATTTGATGCAGAATTTCTTACTTTCAGCCCCAGTCTCGCCAAACTTGTGTAAACAGCGAGCGATTCTAATCTCCGCGCGTCCAGTTTGGCGGAGGGCGAAGAAAGTGTTATATATTATCTTTTATAGGAAATAAAATTTGTTATCTCCTCCGGACTGCGGCCCCTCCATTCCTCGTATCAACCAGCCACTAAAGATAAGCTGGCTCTATAACTCAGCATTAAACGCGCCAGACCAGAATCAGTCTTGTTCTTAGGCATCATTAAAACAAACACGGAATGCAAATTTGGGCCAGATTTCGCCCCGGCAGCACCAGGCGAGTCCTTCCGACCGAGGCAAGGAGGAAACTGAGGAGAGATAAACTTAATCGCTCGGAACTATTGGCAAGGAGCCGCCCTGCTACCTAAAAAAAAAAAAAAAAAAAAAAAAAAAAAAAGTCAAGGCTGATAATATGTCTATTTAAGCTATCATTCCTTATCAGAGGGTCTGCGTGTATGGAATCTACAGCGAATTGTTCCTCATTTTGCGTTTATGCAGTTAAACAAAACAGATTTGCAATAGCTACGATTGTGTCTCGTAGCATTTGATTATAGAGAGAGTTCAAGATGAACAGATAAATCAACAGAAAGATATGTATATACAGATAGATAGACAGTTAAATATATAGATACTACATATGTGTGTGCGTCTGTGCGTGCGTGTGTCTACTACAGCACGAAGGCCAGCATGCCCTCGACCCTCGCGCTTCGAATGAGGGCGCCGAAAGCAAAGCCCGACCGGCAGCCGGCCCGAGGGCTTCAGCAGGCACGGCGCCGTGTCAGTCCGCATCAGCTCAGGGCTCCAGCTGACCGGACAGCGAGCGCCGCCGCTCCTGTTCGCAGCCGCTGGTTCCGTGCTCACTCAATTTTCCACTCAGGTGGGTTTTAATGTCACTCATCAACTGGCATGTCCTTCCAATGTCGAGCCATTTATCTCGCTTCTTTTCTCCCCGTTTGATCGGCGTTCTGCAGGGCCTTTGCGAGGCCCGATTGCTAGGCCACTTTTTTGCTTACCTCGGGGTAAAAATGGATGTTTCCTTAATGATATTTGCGCCGCCTTCGGGGGGTGAGTGTTATCGACATCATCTGAATCCCGGGATGTTCTCTCGTCTCTTGTAAACTGTCAGCAAATATTGTCTCTGGATGTCGACCTGACATTGAACACGCTAACTTAATTCACAGGAAACGCAGTCGATCAGCTGACGCGACTATTATATATTCAGCAAATTCCTCGACTACAGGACCGCATCTCCGACTAGTGAAGCTGGCATACCATGGCGAGTTCACTATTTATCATACTTTCCATGGCCATGATCTGGTATGACAAAGGAGCTATATAAGGGGTGAAATCATAGGACTTCTTAGGTTTGCATATTCGTTCTTTAATAAATTAATCCGAAGCAATGGTACAGGAGCGGCTCTTGTAAGGTGATTGAATAGATCAAAGGAAGGGATAATGGCATTTTCTGGGCCACAGCCTTTCGAGGTCGATCAGCCGTCGGACTTATTGCTGGGCGCCCTTGCGAGCCTCGGCCGCCCTCTGCTGCTCGGCGAACTCGATCTGCCGGAGGACGAAGTCGGGGATGGGGTGGGGGAAGGCGGGGGCCACGGGCAGGAGGGAGGACTCGGGCTGGTAGCCGTTCTCGTTGGCCACGAACTTGAAGGACGCGACGCCTCCGTCGGGGAGAGGATAGCTGGAAAGAGGCCAAGCGTTATATCAAGATCTTACAGGAATAATGATGAATCCGTTTGAGGCAGCTCTAGCAGCGGAAACCAGGCCCGGCAAAGCCTCAAAAGCAAGCAAGCCTCTAAATCTCTCTCTGAACAGAATGCATCGCTCTCTCAAACCAAATGAGGCGGTCTGTTATGTAGGGAAGAGGCGGATAAAAGGGCAAGTTTTAACGGGTGATGTATTTCAAAAAATGCAGCCTAAACTCGGCCTCCACTCTCCGAAGGGCGAGGCACGTCTAGCCCCACGCATCTTACCTCCAGTCGCCGATGCTGTTGGCGCCGCCGGTGGCGCCCTGGGAGCCGGAGACGTGGAAATTGATGCCGTTCTCGGTCTCGAAGTCGAAGCTGTGGGCGCCCTCGGAGTTGGGGTTGTGCTGATCGCTGCGGAGGATGGCGAAGTGGGCGTTGTCGAGGGGCAGCTTATCGGCCGCCGCAACAGCCACCAGCAGGAGAACCACAGCCTGGAATTTTTTCCACAAGTCAAGGCTATGATTCGACGCTCGAGTTGCATTACGGGGAACTTATCGGCAATCTGAGGCAATTTTACCATTACGGCAATTTTACCATTAACGGATTTCTTTCCTCTATGCCTCATTACAAAAATACGGAAATGTTAAAAAGGATATTACTAATATCTTTAAATAGCGACTGATGGAACCCAATTAAAGGAACTCACAACTTTCTTCTTGCATATCTTTTGTATCCCATTGTGTGTGTGTATATATATATATATATATATATATATATATATATATATATATATATATATATATATATATATATATATATATATTTATTTATTTATTTATATATATATATACACACACACATATATATATATATATATATATATATATATATATATATATATATATATATATATATATATATATATATATAAACAATCACGAAAATCGTAATATTATTTCTTTAAAAAAAAAATTCAGATCATGAAACTCTACCACCCGGATTCACAGACTGTATATCCTTACGAAAAATGTAAAAAGGATCATGCTAGTTCTTAGAAACGAATGAGACCCAAACACAGGAACTCACAAACTTCATCGTTGTTTGAGTTATTGCGTCAAGGCGACTACACAACCGACGGCCGGAGTTGCCTCTTATATACCCCTCTCTCACGACGGCGGCGCGACAGGGGATTGGGGCGGAGGCAGGGCAAAGGGGGGGGGGGGGGTAAGGGGGGGAGGCGGCTGCTGAAGGATGACGATGAAGGGGATAGGCATTCGGTGAGAGGGACGAGGGGAAAGTCGGCCGAGAGGAGCAGAAAAGGAAGAGGGCAAAGGGGAGGGGGGGGAGGGGGACTACTGGGAAGAGGTCAGGCCTTGATGAGTGATACCTGCTGTCCCATGCCACCATCTACCCCCTCCCCTGTCCCATGCCCCTTACCCTTACCCCTGTCTCCCCTACCACTACCCCCTATCCCTTACACCACTACCCCCTACCCTCTACCCCATGCCCCTACCCCTACCAACCCCTATACCCTCTACACCCCATCCCAATCAACAATCTCCCCCCATTTTTTACCCCCCCCCCCTCGCCAAGGTGGGGGGAGCGGACGTCCACCGCCTATGACCGCGTAGCGGGATGTCACTCTACCTCGACATCACTCCTCTCGCTTTCCCTGATGTCAGCGTTCGCAGAAGGTAACGCTGGGCACTCGCGGAGACGTTTTATGATCGGTTCGTCTGAGTTATCATTGGCATCTTTATTCGTCTTACTTATAGTAGTGATGGAAATAGTAGTGAGAGTTATAGTGGTTGTAGTAGAGTTGCAAGGATAAGCGTCGTGCTGATTATCCTGGCAACAACAACCTCTCTAGTGATAGTATTAATTATGATAATAGGAAACCGTAGTAACCGTAATAGGGATAGTAAAAGCTATAAGATTTATGATGATAATGACGAGATTAATGATGATAACTATTATCGTTGTTTTCGTTATAATAATCATAGAAAGAGTGGTAATGATAGTAATGAAGTAATAATAATAATAACGACAGCATAAAAATATGGATAATGATAATAACAATAGTCGTAACAATAATAGTGATGAGAATGATGATTATAACAATAATAGTGATGGTAATAATGATGATAATAATAAAGATAATAGTGATAATTATAATAGCAATAATGAGTTAATTATATGATAATAATCATGATGTTGATGATGATGATAACAGTGATGATAAGGATGATAGTAACGATAGAGATGATTATGACAATAATGCTGAACATGGTGATGGTAGTAGTGCTAATAATAAAGATAATGATAATGATAATTATGATAATAGTGATGGTGATAGAAATAATATCAATAATGATAATAACAATAACAATAATGATAATAATGATAACAATAATAATAATGACAACAATAATAATAATAACGATAATAATCGTAATAATGATTTTAAGAAATAATATTAATATCATAATAATAATATTATGATAATAATGATAATGACGACGTTAGTGATAATTATATTAATCATAATAATGATAATGATCACAGCAATGACAATAATAACAATAATAATTATAATAATAATAATGATAATGATAATGATGATGATAATAATGATAATAATAACAATGATAATGATAACGATGATGATAATAATGATAACAATAATGATAACAATAGAACAATAACAACAACACTAATGATGATAACAATAATAATAATAATGATAATAATGATAATGATAATAATGATAACAATAAAGATAACAATAGAATAATAACAATGACAATAATGATGATAATAATAATAATAATGATAATAATGATAATGATAATGAGGATGATAATAATAATAATAATAGCAATAATAATAATAACAATAATAATAATGATAATAATAATAATGATAATAATAACTATAATAATAATAATAATAATAATAATAATAATGATTATAACGATAGTAATGATAATAATTATGATAATAATAACAATGAGAATAATAATAATAATAATGATAATAATGGTAATGGTAATAATAATTATAATGATGATAATGATGATGATGATGATGATGATGATGATGATGATGATAATCATCATCATAATAATCATAATCATTATAATCATCATTATGACAATGATAACGATAACAATAACAATATTAATAGAAATAAATTAATGACTATGATGACTACGGTAATAATGAGGAAGATAATGATAATGATAGTAATGATAATGATGGTGCCGATGAAGATGATGATGGTGATCATGACTGCAATAATGATAATAGTGATACCAATATCAACATTCCTACTCCTACTGGTATTAATAGGAATGATATTAATAGGAATAAAGACAATTATGATAGTAATGATAATACTGAAAATAATAGGTTAGAGTAATGATAACGGCATTCAAATAACAATAATAACAATGTGATTCAAAGAAGAATTAGTTATATTAAGGCCGAATGACTATAATAAAATCACTAATAGCGACAATATACTCGTACAGTGCTAACGATAATATTCAACACTAGCGTAATTATGACAATCATCATTTTCATCCTCTTATATATCACTATTACAATATCAGTACTTGTTACTGCTATTTCCATTGTCATTGCAACTGCTACTACCATCAGTACCACACTCACTGCTGCTTCTGTTACTACTAATATTGGTGATTTTGATAACAGCACCATTAATACTAGCAGCAACGACAGAGGCAGTAATGATAACAATAATAACAATAATGTTGATAATAAAGGTGATGATGATGATGATAATAACAACAACAATAGTGATAATACTGATGGCAATGACAATAGTAATAATAACAAAAATAATAATAATGATAATGATGATGATAATGATAATGAAGATGATGATAAATAGAAGGAAAAAACATTAACTACAAATAATATAGTCATTTTTTGTTATGATAATGTTAATACAGATAGTTATGACGCTAGTAGAAGAATGATGGTGATAATGATAGCAAGAAGAACATTAAATATAATGATCAAAATGACGATGATAGTGAGACTAATAACAGCAGTGCCGATTACATTGATGATAACGATGTGTCGATAATGATAACAACGGTGATAACAATAGGTACTGTGATAACACAAATGATGATAATGATATTGACGGCGGCGATGATACATGTAAAATCAGCTGTAAAACAACAACAGCAACATCAACAATAATTATGCTCATAATGAAAACAGCATCAAAATAATGACTTTGTAATGATGGTTATCAATTTGCCCTAAAGGTATAGGTATTCGAAATCATTTATACAGGATTATGTATTCACGTTGCAATCGTTGCATGACACGGTTGCAATCACAGCCTTCTGTTATTCCTTTATGATTTTAGATGAACCTTCCTTTATTAAAAAAACGTGCTAATAATGTCAGATAATGTAGTCTTCGTAGGAGGAAAATCAATGTATTGCCTGAACTTTTCAAATTGCAGCGAGCTATGATTAAAACGCTGCTTTATTAAACAAAAGATGAGAAAAACAAGCACAATAAAAATAGCAATCAATGCACGTGCAAGGCTTTTGATTCCCTGAACTATTATGCTGTACAGTGGGGGACGAAATTACAATAAGCTTCCTTGTCCTTCCTCCTTCAGTATCAAAACACCCCATGAACTGCAGAGAGAACTGAAACTCGTTAGAATATATGATGTTCCGCCTCACTCCTCTTCTTAAAAATAGGCTTGATGCTCTGAAATTATAAATTCCCTGAATAAAAAAAAACGATATTACTTACAGAACAGAAATACTTGGAAATACATCGAAAGAAAATAAAACTTTTAAAATAGAAATGTTTAGAAATACTTTACTTGATATTTTTTTTCCTCATCACTCACCTTGGCCATCATTATGTATATAATTTAACTTCCATAAAGTCAAATTTGGTCTACCGATTAACAGATTCTACAACAGGTTTGCTTACTTAGTCTTGGCAATTAATTATACACCAGAGAGCACAATTTTAATCAGGATCTTTGAGTGTTTTTATCGGCCTGCTGAGTATGCAAATTAATTTCATCACAGGAGATCTGCTTAGAATAGAGCTGCTTCTCGCCTTCTTCAGCGGAGCAATCTCATTAGAGTAATCATACACACACAAAAAAAGAAAATAATTATAGAAAAAAGACTCATAATCATCGTCATCATTTCTCCAAAAGAAGAGAAAAAAGTTCCCCTCCCATAAAAGAGGCCATCAATATAATGTGTAAAACAGTAGCGGCTTAATTGCCCGAAAGCATCACTAAATGTCAAATCATATTTTCGTTAGACTTTGCTGCCGTGTGAGGGCCTTTACCTGCGCCGGGGCTCGTTATCTCGCGCCGCCCGATCGTATTTCTTCTTTGACGCCGAAGGACCGACGCTCAAGCACGGGGGCAGAGGAGCGCCCGGGCTTTGGGCGCGGCCGCGACGCCATGCACCTTTGCTTCTGCAGGCGCGGCGTGTCTTCTGGGTTTGCAAAAAACACACATATATGTATGTATATATATATGTATATATATATATATATATATATATATATATATATATATATATATATATATATATATATATATATGTATATATATATATATATATACAGATATATATACACACACACATACACACATGTACATACATACATACGTATATGCGTGTATGAAGACATATACATTTGTGTGTGTGTGTGTGTATATATATATATGTGTATA